GCACCTGTCAAAATTCTTTTTTGAAATATATTCTTGCTAAATTTCTTAGGGCCTCTCACTCAATTGCTGATACTGTCCTTGAACTTGTCCTCTTGCCTCAGCCTCCCAAGTTGCTGGGAATACAGGTGCGAACCACCTGGCCCAACTCTTTATTTTTAGCTTGAGACAGGGTCTCACTGAGTTGCCCAGGCTGTCCTGGAACTTCAGATTCTCCTGCCTTAGCCTTCTGAGTAGCTGGGTTTAGAGGCAGGGCACTGCATCTAGCCCTAAAACTATTTTTAGAAATGAAATTAACTGCTAGGCACTTAATCACATACCTATAATTTCAGCTACTTGAGAGACTAAGGTAGGAGGATTACAAATTTAATCCAAGACCAACCAGGGCAATTTAGCAAGACTGAGTTTCAAAATAAAAATAAATACATAAAAAGGGTTGGTGATGGGCTGGGGTTGTGGCTCAGTAGCAGAGCACTTGCCTAGCATGTGAGAGGCCCTGGGTTCAATTCTCAGCACCACATATAAATAAATAAAATAAATGTCCATTAACAACTAAAAAATTAAAAATTAAAAAAAAAAAGGTTGGCGAAATAGCATAGTACCCCTGGGTTCAAATCCCAGTACAAAAACAAAAACTACAATTTTTTTTTTTTTTTTTTTTTGGTTTGGGCTTGTATATTTAAAAATACACAGCACCCCAAATACTATATCAATAGTTCACAGTTACATTCCAGGAATTCCACTTCATACTTTGCAAGCCTTGTAGGGTATACTGTAACCCACGGTTATGCAGCTCTGTAGAGCATGAAATCTAATGTGAATATGTAATCTATGATTACATACGATTACAAATCTGAAAACAAACCAACACACACCAGCATGGGGAGAAGGTTAAAGGAATAAAACATTTCTGTTTAGATACTGAAAGGCTAGTACATGGTAGAACACCACGATATACTGGTATTCATCTCGTTTTGCTTTCAATTTAGACAACAAAAGAAGATTGATTCCTTCTTTCCAGGTTTTATATAATCTCTCAATAAATTCAAAGGTCTGTTTTTCTCTACACATGACAGGTACATAATGTGAAGATATAGAATTCATTACTAGGGCTTGGGATATAGCTGAGTTGGTAGAGTGCTTGCCTCACATGCACAAAGTCCTGGGTTCAATCCCCAGCACCACACACACACACTCAAAAAGAGTTGGAATATTTTTTCCAGTACTGGGGATTGAACTGAAGGATCCTCTACCATGAAGCTACATACTCACCTCATTTTTTTTTTTTTTTTTTGGTACTGAGGATTGAACCCAGGGGTGTTCAACCACTGAGCCACACTCCCAGCCCTATTTTGTATTTTATTTAGAGACAGGGTCTCACTGAGTTGCTAAGTGCCTTGCTAAATTGCTGAGGCTTGCTTTGAACTCAAGATCCTCCTGCCTCAGCCTCCCGAGCCGCTGGGATTATAGATGCACACCATCGTAAACGGCTGAGGAGAATTTCATTTTAAAAAATCTAATGGGAGGGCTGGGGATGTGGCTCAAACGGTAGCACGCTCACCTGGCATGCGTGGGGCGCTGGGTTCAATCCTCAGCACCACATAAAAATAAAATAAAGATGTTGTGTCCACCGAAAACTAAAAACTAAATATTAAAAAAATTCTCTCTCAAAAAAAAAAAAAAAAATCTAATGGGAAAAAAATCTAATTGGATTTCTCTCTCTCTCTCTCTCTCTAAAAAAAAAAAAAAAAATCTAATTGGATCTGGGTGCAGTGGTGTACATTTGTCATTCCAGAATTTCAAAAGGTTGAGGGAGCAGGGCTGGGGAGATAGCTCAGTTGGTATGCACAGGGCCCTGGGGTCAAGCCCCAGCACCACCAAAAAAAAAAAAATGTTGAGGAGGAGGACTGCAAATTTAAGGCCAGCCTCAGCAACTTTTTGAGACATAAGCAATTTAGTGAGACCCTGTCTCTAAACAAAATAATAATAATAATAATAATAATAGATAATGGCTGGGGATACAGCTCAATAGTAAACTGAACTGGGATTCAATGCCCAGTTGAAAAAAATCTAATTGGAAAATTACTGATTCTTATTTATCTTATAAAACATCTTTCTATATGGAACACACCAGTGGTAGAGTACTCGCCTAGTATGTGTGAGGCCCTGGGTTTGAACCTCAGCACCATATATAAATAAAATAAAGGTACTAAATTTTTTTTTCATAGTTGTAGATAGACAGTATGGCTTTATTTTATTTGTTTATTTTCCTGTGGTGCTAAGGATCGATCGAACCCAGTGCCTCACACATACCAGGCAAGCCCTCTGCCACTGAGCTACAGATACTTGAGATGGAGTATTACTTTATATTGTCCAAGCGGGTCTCAATTTCATGATTTGGGAAACCCTGAGTCTCCAAATAACTTGGATTATAGGCATGTACTAATATACCCAGCTAGTATTCTTTCATAAATTTTTTTTTAATTAGATATTAAACCCAGGGTTACTTAACCACTGAGCCACATCTCCAGCCCTTTTTATTTTTTATTTTGAGACAGGGTCTCTCTAAGGTGATGAGGCTAGCTTTGAATTCGCCATTCTCCTGCCTCAGCCTCACAGCCACTGGTATTACATGTGTGCAACACTATACCTGGCTTTAATAAATTTTTTCTGAGGGCAAAACAGTCTATAACATGAATAAACCAAAACTTATTTTGCCAATTCCCTATTCTGAAACATTCTGGATTGTTTAGAATTTTCTTAAAATATATAAATAATGCTTTTTTTTAAAATCAGACATGATGTACACACCCATTATCTTAGTTACTCAGAAGGCTGAGGCAGGAGAAAATCAAATTGAAGGCTAGTCCTGTATCAATATTTAAAATCAGGGACTGGGCCTCAGCAATTAGCAAGGCCATAAGCAACTGAGTGAGACTTATCTCAAAATTAAAAATTAGGGGCTGGGGTTGAGGCTCAGTGGCAGAGCACTTGCCTAGCATGTGTGAGGCACTGGGTTCAATCCTCAGTACCACATACAAATAATTACTAAAAAATATTTTTAAAATAAGAATAATAATAAAAGGGACAGGGCGTGGTGGCACAGGCCTGTAATCCCAGCAATTTGAGGGCTGAGTCAATAGGATCTCAAGTTCAAGGCTAGCCTCAACAAATCACTGAGACCCTAAGCAACTTAGTAAGACCCTGTCTCAAAATAAAAAATGAAAATGTGGCTCATCACCCATGGGTTCAATCCTCAGTACCAAAAACAAATAATAAATAAAAAGGGTTGGGATATAGTTCAGTTGGTCGAATGCTTGCCTCACATGCACAGGCCCCTAACTTCAATCCCCAGCACCACAAATAATAATAATAATAATAATAATAATAATAATTAATAAACAAAAAAGGCTGGGGATATAGTTCAACAGTAAAGCACCCCTAGATTCCCCAGTACCAAAAATAAATATATATCAGGGACTGGGGATGAGGATGTAGCTCAGTATCAGAGCTCAGCTGGATTCAATCCCTAGCACTGCAAATAATAACAATAACAATGCTTTTCAAAAACCAATAATTTGATCCTTTATTATAATAATCAAATTTTAATGCACTGTACATAATTGTAGATGTTATGATTTTCTACAACAGGCAGTTACAGCAGCATTACCATAAACATTTGAGTAATGCATCGTCTTATGATGTTTCGATGTCACTTACCAGGTGACAGAAATTTTTCAGTTCCATTATCATCTTTCTTTTTCATTTTTAAAACTAATACATAAAAACAAAAATAATGCATATTGGGCCAAATATGGTAGTATAAGTCTGTTATTCCAGTATCTCAGGAGGCTGAGGCAAGAGGATCATAAATACAAAGCCAGCTTGGGCAATTTACCCAGACCCTGTTTCAAAATAAAACAAAAAGGACAGAAAATGTAGTTCAGTGCCCTGGGTTCAATCCTTAGTACCACAAAAAAAAAAAAAAAAAGTATAAAGCCAGCCTGGGCAGTTTAGGGAAACTGTCACAAAATTTTAAAAGGGCTGAGCACAAGGTGACCCATGCCTGTAATCCCCAGTAACTCAAGAGATTGAGGCAAGAGGATTGTGAGTTCAAAACCAGCTTCAGCAAAAGGCAGGTACTTAGCAACTCAGTGAAATCCTATCTCTAAATAAAATACAAAATAGGGCTGGGGATGTGGCTCAGTGGCCTAGTGCCCAGGTTCATCCCTGGTATTCCCTGCACCCCCCGCCCCAAAAAAAGAAGAAGACTGAATTTTACATTTGTGAGGAATATCTAAAGTCTTGATATTTTCTTAAGAAATCAAGTTTATCTGAAACTAATTACAATAAATTCTACTTGCAATATTGGAAAAGTTCTAGAAATTCTAATATTTCTAGAAGGCTTGTTTCATTGTTTTCTCCCTATAGTCCTGGGGATTAAATCCGGGGCTTTACACATGCCAGGAAAGTGCTCTACCATTAAGTTACATCCTCAGTCTTTTTTATTTTATTTTGAGACAGGGTCTCTCTAAACTGCCTTGAACTTGTGATCCTGCAGCCTCAGATCTTCTGAGTAGCTGGGATTACAGGTGTGCACCACTGGCCCCCCTAATCCTGGCCTATTTAAGTATTTAAAGGAGTTATTATTTCAGTTTTATATTTATTAAAAATTGTATCTCCACTCATTGAATTAAAAAATCAGGCCGAGTTATTATGTGTATCTGTGAAGTATGTAACTCATTGATCCCAATAAAAATTGTACTTACTTCCATGATTCCAAGATTTTGGCTTGGAAAATATCAGTACCCTAAAATGATAAATACATATAACCACTATTACAAATGAACAGATTAAAATGAATAAGAGACATATAACTTATATTTACCACCAAATTTGAATTCCCTTTTCTACCTCTTTCCATTATAATCTACAATGGGAAACCAGCAAGCAGATGGATAATTTTTTAATTTCACTTTCATTTTTATAAACTATTAACTTACCTAAATGCTTGTAATGGTGATTGTGAGCTTGTAATAAAACTTTTACTCGATCCAAAGGAGCAACTGTTGTTTTGGCACAGCATCCAGCAATCCCTAAAAATTGTTTAAAAGGTCAGAAATAAATTACATATCATTTCTTTCTACAGGGAAATCCTTATTTGTCCAACCAGCAAACCCACTGATCTTTAATTTGGTCTCCATGGATAGAATTGCCCAGTAGCAGGGATATGCAGATGACTGGCCCCCATTTCCTATAATTTAATAATTGAGAATGTCAGACTTAAAAATAAGTTTGGGGAGTATAAATCACTCCCCAGTGCCTGGTGAACCCTGTAATTTTGCTAAAATGTATCTGTGGAGACTAACACTTAAAGGTATTTACCCAACTGCAAAGTTCTGTTTCTAATAAGCATCTCTTCTTCTTGGATGAATTTTACATTAAAACAACCAACTTTTTTTTTTGTTATTTTTTTTAGTTGTCAATGGACCTTTATTTTATTTATGTATGTATTTGTTTATAAATGGTGCTGAGGATCAAACCCAGGGCCTCACACATGCCAGGCAAGTGCTCTACCACTGGGCAACAACCCCAGCCCCAAAACAACCAACTTTTACCCATAAAAGCAGTCATTCATTTATACATTCAGCAACTTTGTATTTAGTTCCTACTTTGTGCCACTGGCCATATGTGTGGATGAAAACAGAATAAAGTGCTTACATGGACTTTAACATTGATCAGAATGCTATTGACTATCAGCATGGAATGCTTCAAAAGTGATCACATAAAGACTTTTCTACAATACTTTCCTGTATTGTAGAAGCACTCAATAAGATGAATTGTTACTATTATAAAAGGTGGGCAAAAGGGCTGGGGATGTGGCTCAAGCGGTAGCGTGCTTGCCAGGCATGCGTGCGGCCCGGGTTCAATCCTCAGCACCACATACAAAGATGTTGTGTCTGCCAAAAACTAAAAAAAAAAAAAAAATATTAAAATTCTCTTTTAAAAAATAAATAAATAAATAAAAGGTGAGCAAAAAAGCCTTTGGTTTCTTTATGAGTACATTAAATTCTTCACCATCAAATATGTATTTCAGGGGCTGGGGTTGTGGCTCAGCGGTAGAGCACTTGCCTAGCACGTGCAAGGCCCTGGTTTCAATCCTCAGCACCACATATAAATAAATAAATAGAATAAAGATAATGTGTTCAACTACAACTAAAAATATATATTTAAAAAATCTGTATTTCAGAAGGGTCGAGAGGACAAGAATTTTGTGGATCTCCTTCACTGATGCATCACCAAAGATCAATGCAGGGTCTAACACATTAAATCATAAAGTCCATACCCACTGTACTTGACAGCTCAGCATGTAACTAATATTAAAGCCCACCCTTTGAGATATCAAAAAATTAAATGTATATTTGTACTGTAATATAAAAGTTTATATTTATAAAAAGTTTTATTTTTTTTTTCTTATTTGAACTAATAGAAATAGCAGGCTATCCAAAATTGAGGATAAACTAAAAGTCATTTGCATCTGGTTTTATTTGCTTTCATATTATTTTATTTATTTATTTATTTTTAAAGAGAGAGACACAGAGAGAGAGAGAGAGAGAGAATTTCAATATTTATTTTTCAGTTTTCGGCAGACACAACATCTTTGTTTGTATGTGGTGCTGAGGATCGAACCCGGGCCACACGCATACCAGGCGAGCGCGCTACCACTTGAGCCACATCCCCAGCCCTCATATTATTTTATGATACATTATTATCTTCTCAGTCATGTATGGATTAACCATCAAATGAAATTATTTAGAATGTATTAAATAAGTAGTTTCCTTTAATAGTATCTTAATTTCATACTGCTTCAAAGCTTAATTAATCAACAAACCAATAGTCCATTTGAGTTAGGTCAAGTAGCTTTCATCTTTATTTTGCAGTGCAAGAGATCAAATCTAGGAACTTGTACAAGCTAAGAAGCACTCTACCACTGTGCTATACCATATTTCCAGCACCACCACCCATTTATCTATCTATTTATTTATTTATTTTTCAGTACTGAAAATTGAACCCAGGGGTACTCTACCACTGACCTCCTCTTTTTATTTTCATTTTGAGACAAAGTCCCCCCCAAAATGGCCAAAGCTGGCCTTGAACTTGATATCCTCCTGCTTCAACCTCCAGAGCAGCTGAGAATACAGGAGCACCACTACGCCCAGCTGCTGCTTTTATCTTTCTTTTAAGAGAAAGCAACTAGACTAGAGGTAGCTCAGTGGTAGAAGCACCAAAAAAAAAAAAAAAAAAAAAAAAAGAAAGAAAGAAAAGGAAGATTGAACAACTAAAGAGATTTGCCCAAAGCACTGCTAACCATAATAGTTAGCAAATACTCAGTATTTACTTTGTACCAGGCACTAGCCTAAGAAATTTAATTGTGGGCACTGTGCCAAGGTTTTTACTATTCCAGTTTAATCATTAGAACAATTATTTAAGGTAGGTAGACTTATATTCTCTTTTGAGGATGGGAAAACCAAGGTACAAGAGGTTAAATAACTTGCCCAGCAGTATTCCTTCCTATCACCTGGATGTGAAACTCCTATATAACCTTCAAAGTCATGCCTTCCAAAAATTTGAACCAGCACTTAACAAAAGAAACACAGATGGGCAATAAAATGAAAAGATGCTCAGCATCATTTTCTTCAAGAAAATAAGAATTAAAATCACAATTAGATAACACTAAACACTTGTAAAAATGAAAAACATACATAGACACCCTAACAATACCAACAAGTACTGACAAGGCAGTGGGGATAAAAAATGAAACAGATGCTTTGGGAAATAACTTAGCAGGGGTTTTTTGTTTTGTTTTGTTTTGTTTTTGGTACTGGGGATTGAACTCATGAACACTCTACCACTGAACTACATCCCCAGCCCCTTACGTGTGTGTGTGTGTGTGTGTGTTTTCCTGAGATAGGGTCTCTTTAAGCTGCCACAATTGGCCTTGAACTTGTCATCCTCATGTCTTAGCCTCCCAAGTAACTGGGATTATTATTTATTTATTGGTTTAAAAAATAAATAAACAAATAATTTATGGGAGTTAAAACAGGGGTACTTTACCAATGAGCTACATCCCTAGCCCTTTTTATTTTTGAGGCAGGGTCTCATTATATTGCTTAGGGCCTTGCTAACTGCTGAGGCTGGCCTCAAACTTGCAATCATCCTGTCTCAGCCTCAGGAACTGCTGTGATTACAAGTGTACACAACAGTGTTCAGAATTGGCAATTTCTTATTAAATTAAGTAAAGCAAGAGGATGTAGCTTATTGGTAGAGCACTTGCCGAGTTCAATCCCCAGCACTGCAAAAATTATAAATTAAAAAAATAAAGTTAAGGGCTGGTTCCCAAGGTTCATAAATCTTCTGGAGCCCTTTCCTCCACTGGACCAGCCAAAAAGCACAGAAGTCTCTAGCTGGAGCCAGCCTGGCCAAGGAGCAGCTGCCTTAAACTCCTGGTCCTGAGTAGCTGAGATGTGCCACCACTCCTGGCTTTTTTTTTTTTTTTTTTTTTTTTAATTCCAACTTGAGTGAAGATGATTGTAATTTTTCATACTATCAAAGAGTAAAAGGATATAAATATGTTTATTGTCATCTTTTTATAAATTGTGAAATGTATATTTTAAAAAGTTAAACATGATATTCTTTTTTTTTTAAGTAACTGTGGAAGATGTCTTTTTTTTTTAATCTTATTTATTTAATTATTTTAGTTGTTGATGGGCCTTTATATGTGGTGCTGAGAATCAAACCCAGTGCCTCACACATTCAAGGCAAGTACTCTACCACTGAACCACAACCCCAGCCTATATGATACTCTTAAAGCCAAGGAGTCAGGGCTGGGGATCATAGCTCAGTTAGTAGAGTCCTTGCCTCCCATGCACAATCCCCAGCTCCCAAAAAAAAAAACAAACAGCAAGGAGTCTCTTCCTAGAAATTTGCCCAAGGATAAAGAAACCAAAGGATTTCATCCAGGGGATGAAACTCATATAAAAGACTTCTTTTCATAGTCTCTTAAGTCAGATAGTGGAAAACCAGAAAGAAATCAAATTTTTTTTTTTAAATATTTATTTTTTAGTTTTCGGCGGACACAACATCTTTGTTTGTATGTGGTGCTGAGGATGGAACCCGGGCCACGCACGTGCCAGGCGAGCACGCTGCCGCTTGAGCCACATCCCCAGCCCCAAGAAACCAAATTTTCATCAACAGATGTGGCTAGGCACAGTGGCACACATGTCTAGTTCCAGCTACTTGGGAGGCTGAGGTGGGAGGATCACTTGAACCCAGGAATTTTTGAGACCAGCCTGGGCTATGCAAGAAAAAAACATTTCAAAAAAGAAAGGAAGAAAAAAGAAAGAAAGAAACTTTAGTATATCCATACAACAAAATATTATTCATTAGTAAAAAGGAACAGCAGTGGGGCTGGGGCTGTAGCTCAGTGGCAGAGCATTTGCCTAGCATGTGTGAGGCACTGGGTTTGGTCCTCAGTACCACATAAAAATAAACAAATAAAATAAAGGCATTCTATCCATTTGCAACTATTAAAAAAAAAAAAAAAAAAGGAACAGCAGCATGGTGGTACACACCTGTAATCCCAGCTATTAGAGAGGCTGAGGGGCTGGGATGTGGCTCAAGTGGTAACGTGCTAGCTTGGCATGCGTGCGACCCGGGTTCGATCCTCAGCACCACATACAAAACAACGATGTTGTATCCGCCAAAAACTAAAAAATAAAATATTATAAAAAAAAAAAAAAAAAGAGAGGCTGAGGCAAGAAGATTGCAAGTTCAAGGCCAGTCTGGGAAACTTACCAAGACCTTACTTAAAATAAAAAATAAAAAGGGCCAGAGATATAGCCAGTGGTAGATATGGTTTCCCCGGGTTCAATACTCAGTACTGCAAAAACAAAAACATAAATAAAAATAAAAATATTTAATGTTTTAAAATTCCAAATGGCTGGGGATATTGCTTAGTAGTAAAGTACCCAGGGTTTGATCCCCATTATAGACAGATATGAGGAAAACAAGGGCTAGAAGTATAACTCAGTGGTAGAATTCTTGCCTAGCATGTGAGGCCCTGGATTTGATCCACAGCAGTGAGAGAGAAGGAGAAAAAAAAAAAAAAAGGAACAAACTTCTGATACATACAACATGGGTAAATTTTCAAAACATTTTGCTAAGCGAAGAAAGCCAGATATTCCATTTACGTGGTACTGAAGATTGAACCAGGGCTTCATGCATGCTAAGCAATGGTCTACCTCCAAGTTATATCCCTAATCCCCAATTTTTTTGGGGGGGGACAAGCTCTCCCTTAATTGCCCAGGCTGGCCTTAGAGTTTCAATCCTTTTGCCTCAGAAAATAGATCTGTGCTTGTCAGGAGCAGAGGATGACAGGAGGAGAATGACACAAGGGAAGTGGAACTATTTTGGGGTGATGAAACTATTCTATATATTGACTGTGGTGGACTTTATACATTTTTGGCAAGATGAATTTAACTATGTACCTCAAAAGAGTGAATTTTACTGTATATAAAGTATACTTCAGTAAGCCTACTTTAAAAAAAAGGCAAAAATCCTATGGAATCAGACATGGTGGCACATGCCTATAATCACAGAAACTCAGGAGGCTGAGGCAGGAAGATCACAAATTCAAGGCCAACCTGGGAAACTTATTGAGACCCTGTTTCAAAATAAAAAATAAGGGCTGGGGATGTGGCTCAAGCGGTAGCGCGCTCGCCTGGCATGCGTGCGGCCCCGGTTCAATCCTCAGCACCACATACAAAGATGTTGTGTCCGCCGAAAACTAAAAAATAAATATTACAAAAAATTCTCTCTCTCTCTCTCCCCTCTCTCAAAAAAAAAAAAATAAAATAAAATGACTAGGGATGTAGCACAGTGGTTCAGTACCCTGGGTTCAAAAAATAAAATAAAATACTATAGAAACTTCTAAAAACCATCTGGCTTAATCAAGATTCCTTTGTAGTATTTCCTATACTTGCTATTTCCAATCTTTCCTCTTTCATTAAATTGTTCTGTAGTAAAGTATAAGATACAAACATAAAAGTACAAAAATCATAAGCATGCCACCTAACAAATTAGTGCAAAGTGAATGAAATCATGTTAAGATCAAGAAATAGGGTACTTGGGCTGGGGTTATAGCTTAGTGGCAGAGTGCTTGCCTAGCACATGTGAGGCACTGGGTTCGATCTTCAGCACCACGTAAAAAAATAAATAAAATAAAAAATAACACATACACATACACACACACACAAAAAAAGAAATGGGATACTACTAAGCCCCCAAAAGTCTTTTTCCAATGCTCCCCAAAATACTATCTGTCCCTCCTCAGAGATAATCAACTACTCTTCTGATTTTAACAACATAGATTTAATTTTGATCATATTTGACCTTTATACAAACAAAATGACACAGTGTATGCATTGTCTACTGTCTGGCTTCTACTGTTCAATATTATGTTTGTGAGATTCTTCCATATTGTTAAGTGTGGCAATGATTCATTAATTTTCAGTGACGCATTTATTAGTATACCATATTTTAGTTACATGTCCTAACTTTGACAGAAATTGGGGTTGCTTCTAGTTTTGGGCTATTATGAATATGGCAACTACAAACAAAAATACAGTCTATATATTGGTATATGCTTAGGAACCATTAGATATATAGCATGCAAATATTCAGCTTCATAAATAACTGCTTAACCAGTGCTTCAGAGTGGTTTTACCAATCTATAGTACTACCAGCAGTACATGATTCCTGCTTGCTATTCTAATCTACATGTCCCAAGAATTTAGTTCAACACCCAGTCCTCATTATAAAATACAACATGTTCAAAACAACTTCTGATCTCTTTCCAAAAACCACCACAAAAATTGCTCCAATGATAGCCTTCAGTCAATGACAGCTACCTCCTTGCAGTTGCTCAGGCCAAAACAAATCATCTTTGACTTTCCCTCACCTCACCTCTAATCAGTCAGAAAATCCTATTTGTTATATATATATATATCCATAATCTCACAACTTCTCACCAACTTCACAGCTACTATGCTGATCCAAGCCACTATCATCTATCATCGAAATTACTGCAATAACTCCCAAACTGGTCTCTTTGCTTCTATATGTGCACCTTACAGTTTTTCTCAACAGAGCATCCAGGTCATAGCCTGACACTTTTGTGCTCAATATCTGTAATATTGCCAGGTGCAGTGATCCACACCTGTAATCCCAGTGACCTGGGAGGCTGAGGTAGGAGGATGGCAATTCAAAGCCAGCCTCAGCAACTTAGGGATCCCCTGTCTAAAAATAAAACAAAAAAGGTTGGGGGTGTGGCTCAGTGCTCAAGAGCCCCTGGGTTCAAGCACCAGCACACATAGATACACATAAAAATCTGTAATATTTCCCCATTTCACTCCGAGTAAAAATCAGAATCTTTATGATTTGGAAGATCCCTTCATTTTCTTCTCCTTGCTCTCTTTACCTAACTTCCTTCCCTAATCAACACCACTTGTCTTCAGCCAAAAGTCTTGCAGCAGACTAGATTTTCTCGCTTTAAAGCCTTTGCCTTGGGGCTGGGGATGTGGCTCAAGAGGTAGTGCGCTTGCCTGGCATGTGTGCGGCCCAGGTTCGATCCTCAGCACCACATACAAACAAAGATGCTGTGTCTGCTGAAAACTAAAAAAAAAAATAAAATAAAATAAAATTTAAATAAATAAATAAAAATAAAAATAAAGCCTTTGCCTTCTCTGCCAGGCATTGTTGCACACATTTGTAATCCCAGTGACTCAGGAGACTGAGGCAGAAGGATACAAGTTCAAGGCCAGCCTCAGCAATTTAGCAAGCTTCTGTCTCAAAATAAGAAAATTAAAAGGGTGGGGATGTAGCTCAGTGGTAAAGCATTCCTGGGTTCAATATCTAGTACATCTAGTACAAAAAAAAAAAAGTTCGCTCAAGATTCAAGTTTCAGGGCTGGGGATGTGGCTCAAGCGGTAGCGGGCTCGCCTGGCATGCCTGCGGCGGCCCGAGTTCGACCCTCAGCACCACATACCAACAAAGATGTTGTGTCTGCCAAAAACTGAAAAATAAATATTGAAATTCTCTCTCCTCTCTCTCTCTCTCTCTCTTAAAAAAAAATTAAAGAAAAAAAAGATTCAAGTTTCAATCTCTCAATGAGACACCACAGCTATCATCTTTAATACTGTCCACTCCACTGCCTTCCCTGTCTTCTTTCTACTTCTTCCCATTGCATTCATCACCTTCTAACATACTATATTTTCATTCTGTTTATTCTTTCACCTTACAACTCCATAACCAACATAAACTCCAGGAAGGTATAGATATTTCTTTTGTTCCTTTTTTAAAATATTTATTTTTTAGTTGTAGTTGGACACAATACCTTCTTTTATTTTTATGTAATGCTGAGGAGAAACCCAGGGCCTCACATGCGCTAGGGGAGCGTTCTACCGCTGAGTCACAACCCCAGCCCCTTTCTTGTGTTCTTTGATGTATTCTAAGCAAAAAGTAGGCACATACCTGGCACTCAAATATTCCCAGTACGAATAAATGAATGCCCTTTTTATCAGGAGGACAAACTAATTGTTGTCACTGCTGCAGAATACAGATAATATATTTCAACAAGTCTTCATAATGTGGAATTTTAAAATTCTCTGTCAAATAACTAAGTGATGATAACCCAGACAAGCAATTACACCATGAGGGAAGAGATTAAAACACTTCTTTATGATAAGGCAGAGGAAATTTCTTTGAGACAATGTGAATGTTCTGGTCTCGTGGTCAGATCAATAGTAGGGCTTGTCAAGTAGTTTTGACACAGTTTGCTAATTTTACACAATTTCTCAGTCATCTTTAAAAAGCTGACCTCCAATATTTATTTTCCTTTAAGCAAACAGCAAAACCTAATTGCACACTCAGTTACCCAGTCTTTTCAAAAGAAAGGCGTGCCCAGCATGTTTCGTGTAAGGGATCTCCCTCTTTTCCTGGCTACCCAACTCTGGATAATATCAGCTTGACTCAGTCCTTCCACTTCTCCAGCCTCTTCCCAAGAGCCCAAGGTCCCACTCCCTTGAACCTGGCTGGCACAAGTCAAGGATTATTAGAATGAGATTACAGGCAGGTATGGGTAAACATCGGGCAGGGTACTGAAACAGAGTAGGGAATAACATAGAGGCCGCTAGCACCCGATCTGCCAGCGATTTTAGCCGGAGGAAAGCAGCCAGAAGACTTCGGGGCCGACACTCACCTCCCGCCAAGAAGGAGCGCAGCCAGTAGAAGTCGCGACGGGCTGTAGGCCCTCCGGCCCCTGCCGCCTGCGGCATGGCGGGAGGGGTTTCGGCCGCTGCCAGGGCCGCCGCCGCAGCCATCAGGACCACAGTCACCGCGGGGACGTGGGTTGCCAACTTACAAACCACGGAACAGAACCATGGCTGGTGCCTGCAGTGACAGGAGGCCGACCGCCGAGCTGGCGGGGCCGAATGATTCCAGGTGCGGCGCCCGCTGATGGCGTAACCCAGGGGCGGAGCCTCGGTCACTCCCCAAGGGGTCCGGAGTGGGGCGGGGCCTGAGGGAGACCGCGATCTCTTGGCTGGTCTCTCCAGCGAGCCTTGCCCCACCTCTCTACTCCCCTATTTTTTTTTCTTATTTGGGGGTATTGGGGATTGAACTCAGGAGCACTCAATTACTGAGCCACATCCCCAGCCCTGTTTGTATTTTACTAGAGACAGGGCCTCACTGAGTTGCTTAGCACCTCGCTTTTGCTTTCAACTCACAATCTTCCTGCCTCAGCCTCTGGAGCTCCTGGGATTAAAGGCCTGCGCCACTGTGCCTGGCTTCTACTACCCCATTTGCAGTGTTTGTTTTTATACTGGGGATTGAATCCAGGGTCGCTTAACCATTGAACCACATCCCCAACCTTTTATATTTTTAATTTTGAGACAGTGTCTCACTAAGTTGCCTTGGGTCTTACCAAATTGCTAAAACTGGATTCAAACATGTGATTATCCTATCTCAGTCTCTCATGTCACTGGAATTACAGGCAACTGCCAGGCCTGCTTTGCTTTTCAGGGCGGAAGATGGAAAGGGTGGCTATTCAGGGACCTGTCAAAACCCACTACCTGCCCAGACTCCGCACATACCTGTAATTTCAGTGGCTTGGGAGGCTGAGACAGGAGGATCACAAGTTGAAAGCCAACCTCAGCAAAAGCCAAGTGCTAAAAAACTCAGTGAGACCCTGTCTCTAAATAAAATTCAAAACAGGGCTGGGGATGTGGCTCAAGGGCCAAGTACCCCTGTGTTACCTCCAGTTACCTTCTCCCCCCCCCACCCCGCAAAAAAAAAAAAAACACTACCTTAAAAAGCTTTCCCATTCTTTGGCCCATATTGAGTTGTAACCACCCATTGAGATGCTTTCTAACCTCCATAAAATGCACCCTTTCCAGAATCAATCTTCAGCTTCTCATTCTCTCCAAGTATCTCTTCGCTTACTATTCCAACTCTGCTTTCTCAGAGCTCCTCATTGAATTTCAGTCGCTGCCCTCCATAAGCTCCACTAAGATTCCAATGTGCCCATGCTACATTTGCGCAGGCAGCAAGGGACAGACACACATACACACACACACACACACACCCTGAAGTAGCTCTAAAGCTAAACAGGTTATTCTTTCTTTGGGACCCTAGTCATTAAAACAAGCTAGTTTGTAACAGTCATCCACTTCATACTTTGAATATAGCCCTTGATGCTCTGTCACGGTGACTTATTTTTTTTAAATTTTTTAATTAATTATACATGACAGTAGAATGCACCTTGCTAACCATATATAATGGAGTATAATTTCTCATTCTTCTGGTTATACATGATGTAGAACCCCACTCGTTATTAGTCATATATGTATATAGGGTAATAATGTCTGATTCATTTTTTTTTTTTATTTATTTATTTATTTTAGTTTTAGGTGGACACAATACCTTTATTTTTATGTGGTGCTGAGGATTGAACCCAGTGCCTCACGTGTGCTAGGCGAGCGCACTACCACTTGAGCCACAACCCCAGCCCCAAGATTCATTTTACTATCCTTCCTATCCCCAGTCCCCCTCCCCTCTCCTCACTCCCCTCTACCTAATCTGAAGTAAGTCTTTCTTCCCTAGCCCCCCACCCCTTATTGTGAATTAGCATCTGCTATCAGACAAAACACTCAGCCTTTGGTTTGGGGGACTGGCTTATTTCACTTAGCATGATATTCTCCAGCTACATCCATTTATCAGCAAACACCAAAAAACAACCCAGTCAATAAGTGGGCTAGGCTGGGTGGGGTGGCTCACACTTATAATCCCAGTGGCTCTGGAAGTTGAGACAGGAGGATCTCAAGTTCAAAGCCAGCCTCAGCAAAATTGAGACGCTAGCAACTCAGTAAGACCCTGTCTCTAATAAAATACAAAACAGGGCTAGGAATGTGCCTCAGTGATTGAGTGCCCTTGAGTTCAATCCCTGGTACACCCCTCCCCTAAAAAAATGGACTAAAGAACTGAACAGACACTTCAACAGAAGAAGAAATGCAATTGATCAACAAATATATGGAAAAAATGTTCAAAAGATTTTCCTAGGTCTGGGGTTGTAGCTCAGTGAAAGAGTGCTTGCCTGGCATGTATGAGGCACTGGGTTCAATTCTCAGCACCATATACAAATAAGTAAAATAAAGGTCCATCAACAAGTAAATAATAATAATAATAATAATAAAAAGATTTTTCTAATCTTTAGGAATTAGAGAAATGCAAATCATAATTACATTAAGATTTTATCTCACCCCTGTCAGAATGGCAATTATCAAGGGCTGGGGGTGGGGGAGGGGAAGGGGATTAGCAAGGATGGTGGAATGTGATGGACATTATTATCCAAAGTACATGTATGAAGACACAAATTGGGTGTCAACATACTTTACATACAGAGATATGAAAAATTGTGGTATATATGTGTAATAAGAATTATAATGGGGAAAAAAAAACCAAAGTACATGTATAAAGACATGAATTGGCGTGAACATACTTTATATACAAAGATATGAAAAACTGTGCTCTATATGTGTAATAAGAATTGTAATGCATTCTGCTGTTGTGTATTTGAAAAAAAATAATATCAATTAAAAAATAAAAGGATACAGGATACACGGCTGGGGATATAGTTCAGTTGGTAGAATGCTTAACTTGCATTCATGAGGCCCTGGGTTCCATCCCCAGCACCACAAAAAAAAAAAAAAAAAAGAATAAAAGAACACAAACAACAGCCAGATGTGGTGTGGTGGTATGCCTGTAAGCCCAGCAGCTCAGGAGGCTGAGGCAAGAGGATCACAAGTTCAAAGCCAGCCTCAACAAAGGTGAGGAACTAACCAACTCAGTGAGATCCTGTCTCTAAATAAAATACAAAATAGGGCTGGGGATGTGGCTCAGTGGTCAAGTGCCCCTGAGTTCAATACCCAGGAT